TGATGATGATGATGATGATGATGATGATGATGATGATGATGATGATGATGATGATGATGATGATGATGATGATGATGATGATGTGTGATGATGATGGTGATGATGATGATGATGATGATGATGATAATGATGATGATGTTAGTGATAATGATGATGATGATGATGATGATGATGATGATGATGATGATGATGATGATGATGATGATGATGATGATGATGATGATGATGATGGTGGTGGTGGTGGTTATTATTATTATTATTATCATCATCATTATCATCATTATTATTATTATCAGCATCATCATTATCATCATCATCATCATCATCATCATCATCAACAACATCATCATCAGAAACAGCCTGGGTTTTTCGGATTCATGTGGCGTATGCACGTGGAACAACAGTCTAGGGCGCGCACCATGCATGCTAAGCGATATTTGCGTGTAGTGATCACATCGCTGGCTTCCAATCCGCTACCACCGCAGCGTCTTCCCACGGCTTCACTCGCGTCAGCTTCACCCCGGGGGTTTGTTCATTACGCAATACACGATACATCCCGCCGCCGAAACTGCTCTAAGAAATCTAAGATCGTGGCAATGATTTGCAATCAGAGTATAGTGTATTGCACTTACTCGGTGTTATCGGCGGCGTTTCGTAGTTAGTCGTCCACGGACTCTTCGAATAGTCGGTATGTTTTGAATCTGAAATATATTATACGGGCGCGTGAATAGCTGCAAACATGGCGAGATCTTGAACGAGAGTGTTCGTGTTAGATTTTCCCGCCCCGCGTGGATGCGCGATGAACATGCACACGCATTCGCACGAGCAATCTAGACTATATTAGACTACGGAGTTCTCTTGTACTAAGGACGTAAAGCAAGGAGAACATATAGGTGCGCAATCAACATGTGTATGAATGTACTATTGGGGAGACGTGCTGTTTGCGACCCCTAAGCTTCCACATTCGCGAGCGTGTGTGTGTGCGTGCGTGCGTGCGCGTGTGCGTACATGTAATTCCCCCCTGCGTTTTCATCCGACGTGCGCATGCGCAACCCGCGGTTGCCATAAAAGAGGAAATCTCAATCACCCGGCAAAGTAATAAGCCACAAGGTGGGCTTCCTCTGTATTACTCAAGCGAAATTAATCTGTACCATGCGAGGGCCTCTGAACCGAGCGCAACCATCCACGGGGCTTCGCGTGTTTCCGCAAAACTGCGATTGATATTTCCTAACAATATTTTCTGCACTATATCCGGTTAGCTCGGATGGCGGGGAAAAAATGGAGCGCTGCGAAATGCAATCAGGTGGCGGTGCATTTAGCGGTTTTTCGGTAACAAAGTTTATTCGATATAGATGTGACATGTGACGTGGAATTTCACGGATCTCTCTCGCGCTCACTCACTCAATCACTCACTCACTCACTCACTCACGCACGCACGCACGCACGCACTCACTCACACACTCGCTTACATGATGACTGAATGACGTACATACGTCAAATGATAACTGAATGACCTATAGTGTTAATATTTAGCACATGATAACTGACTGACGTAGTGTTTATATTTAGCACATGATAACTGGATTGCGTAATATTAATACAGTGGTTAAAGTTAAGAATAAAGTTAACGTTGTGGTCAGTGTTGGTTTTGAGGTTGAGGGTTATGTTATGGTTATGGCTATTGTTAGGGGTATAATTAAAGGTAATGTTATCGTTAGGGTGAAGTTTAACGTTAACTTTCACATCAGGAGTATACATAAACGCAAAAAGAAAATAGAAATATACATAGAATATAACAAAACTAAACATAAACTATATAACTAAACTATAACATATACAAAGAATAATACTTTATTCACTCCTATTTATATTGATAAGGTTTCGCAGCCTTGCGGCTGGAAATGCAGTGTTCGTTACAGCGGTCGTTAGCAGCTAATCTATGCGGTATATGTCACACGCTAACGCAATTGCAATTCGACTGTAGTTTGTGCGGCGAGATGTCTATATCTGACACATTTGCCGGCGCGATAAATTGATTATACCTATAGAATAACTGAGTTTAACAGCACATGCAATAAGTAAAAGATTTTCCTAGTTTCCTAATTTCTTTATCCCCGATATCTAATCGGTCGTATATGTAATATACTGAACGAATTTAGAGCGCGCAGCGGGGTTACTCGCCCGTTCCTTTTTTTCTCTCTCTTTCCCTCAATCGAGTTGTCGTCTGTCGTTACTGATTATTATACAGTCACTGTTGTCGCCCAGGGAACAAACCAGAGGTCAATTGACTAAACGTTCTATACTGCGACAGCTCAGAAATGCAATAATGATTGAGATAGGTGGATGGATAATACACACCGTCCTCGCAATATTACAGCGTGCGCTTGAGCACAAAGAAGCATGTCGCCTTCATGTAATATAATATAATATAATATATATATATATATATATATATATATATATATATATAGGCCTATTCATGTAGGAGAGAGATCATTCGAGAATTTGCACGTGTCATGGTAATTGTAAGCGTGCCGAGAAAGTAATAACAAATCCGCACCGTTTCTGGAAATTCCCATTCGTCTTATGACCTTATCGGGATGTTCTATAATAGCCATAGCTCGCGATAACGCCAAATAATTTGTATACTACATAGAATCAGATGTCTTTATGTTAAAATTAGATGCACTTGTTAATGAATTTGCCGGACAGTCAAAGATGTGTTCAATTATTTTATAATAGCATAAATTCTTGAAGATTTATATACTCATTTATATAAGTAACCTTTACATAAAAGGCGCGAATATATATCAATTCGTGGGTTTCTGAGCGCACGCGCATGTGTGTGTGTGTATGTGTGTGTGTGTGTACGCGCGAGTGTGTGTGTGTGTATGTACGCGCGTGCGTGCGTGTGTGTATGTGCGCGTACGTGTGTGTGTGTGTGTGTGTGTGTGTGTGTGTGTGTGTGTGTGTATGAGTGTGTGTGTGCGTGTGTGTGTGT